GTTCTTGCTCATTTTGCCTCCGAGATATGAGCAAAAACAGGACGGAAAACATGAAATTTTGGCATAATCTTGCACCTAAGTGTCTGATATTCAAAGGAGGACGAAATTGTCCAGCAATGAGTTGCAGAATTCAGACATCCGGATATTTGAACGCGACCTTCCAAGGGAAACGAAGCTATTTATTAGTCTATATTGGTCGCTTTATAGTCCAGTTTAAAGTTCCTATAGCCAGAAAAATTACGCCACTTCCTTAACTGCAAATCAATTTCTCATCGTTCTGTTACGGTTATTGTACTGTTTATTTTCGTTCCGCCCCGGATTATTTGAGCCAAACAGAGCCCCACTTTGAAAAAATCTTCTCCATTTCTCATTTCAACACGTTCATCTTCCAGGGATTTTTTCTGCGAACTGATTAACCGTTTCGGGAGTCCGTCCGCCCATAGGAAAACACGATTATATTTATTATGCATGTTCACTGTATCCCTAAAAGGAACAGCAACAAATTGGGGATCGCTGTTGGTTCTAGTGTGGGACATTTTTTTCGGTTATGGACGGTCCCAGAAGAGTTAATTTGAAGTTGAGTAGTTTCCGGCCTGTTTTGTGTATCTTTCGGGAGAAGGGTCCGAAGCATGTTGTTTAAAGCGCAAACATCTGGATCGGCTGCGATACAAAGGAGGAGTTTGAGAGATTAATTATATTGTTAATGAACTGTGTCATTATATTTATTGTCGTGCTCAGAGAGCGCTGGTTTGAGGTTGACTCAGCCATGTTCTGTACGGTCGTTGAACTAATTGTACTCGTTCCTCTTCGTTGGCTTTAATGAACCCAACGGTACCTTCCAGTCGGGCGCATTATCTTATTTCGTGTACCATTTCAAGGCCTTCCGGAACAGTCTTTTTCCAGTCATTTATTCAAATGATGATGGTGTCTCCATTAAAGTTACGTCGGTGAAGGTTGGCAATCTGATCGTTTTTTTTGTACTATTTGATCCATTCGGGGCGCCTTTATTGCCTTGGAGGGCGATGGGGTTGGATTCAAATTTCTTTTTCCCGGACATCGCCCTGTCCATTTAGCAGAGCCGCGCCTTCCGATGATAAATCGTTTTCCCGGCGTCGGAAAAACGTCCACCGTTTTGTATTTATAGTCGCCATTTTCAGGGTGTGTTACCTGCACGAAATTAGGGTTGGTTCCGTTCTGGGCTAATCTGCGGGTAAAATGCCCGTTTTTTAGGGCCGATCGGATGGTGACGACATTTAATCTAAAAGGTGGTTGTGTAAATGTGCAGTTTAAACCTTTCACGGGATTGTATTTGGCTCAAAAGGAAGCTCGCAAAAGTGTAGGAAACGGATGAAAAAATTTGTAATTGTGGGGGCGAGAAAATGCCAAGTTTACTCAGCTAGAAAATGATTGCGAAAGGAAACTGTTTGCAATGCAAAATACTTT